CTCTCTCAAATCGAAAGAAATGCTTAATCTCCAATACTTTAACAAAATTAATAACATGAATAATTATGAAGTGAATAATTTTTTAAGTGTTTAATGTATTTTTACTAAAATTATTGTAAATAATTCAAAAAATAAATTGCAAAATTAAACATCATTGTAAATACAAAATTTATTACAAACAAAAACTAAAAAATATGAATTTTTTTTACAGAAATTTTTCGGCTATTTAATGAAATTCAACTTAAAAAAGAAATTAAAAATTTATAATTCAATCTCGAAATTATGAAAGATCAATCAAGAGGACAATATTGTAATAATAAAGCAAAACCATTAAGAAAACGAGATAATAGAGTTATATTAAGATAAAAATAAATATTCAAGTTTATCAAGAATCTTAAATTACTATTAAATAAATTTAGCTACTTCTATAGTATGAATTAATTCAAGTATAAAGCATATAAAATGCGAAAATCATAAAAGTAAAAATAAAATGATAAAAATTGAGATAAATTAAGTCTTATCTAAAATCTTTTGTAATTTGAATATTTTAAATTCTGATTAAAATATTTATAAAAAAAATTAATATAAATAGAAAATATCTTATTTAGTTTTAAAAATAAAATGGGTTATTTGTTAGATAAATTTAAAAGACTAAGAAATACTTAAATTTCAGGATAAGAATTTATTTATGAAAAAGCTTAAGTAGGAAATTAAATTCCCTAATCTACTATTCCAGTGGTATTTTTTTAGGAATTCCAAGCATATTTTAGCAGCAGCTAATGAATTAAGAATTTAAGATTATTAAATTAAAATGGCTCAAAGAATTTTCAGATAGAATATCAAGAGAAATTAAAAAAATAACAATTATGTGAACAGTATGAAATGCAAAACAGAGGGAAGTCCCTTTTTTTTAAATGGGGAGTAAAGAGCTGAAATATCAGTATTATGTTTATATGTAAATGATAAATTTTAGAATTTTTGGAATATTCATTAAAATTTTTATTTTTCATTTAATTATGGAGACAAAAAAAAGAATGTATAATTTCAAAATCTTTTTAAATATATTTTCTATTCTATGTAATATGGTATATTTATTATTATTTTTGGAAATATTACTCAATAAGCTAAATTAATTATTTTCTCATTCAAAAAAACCAACAAGAAATTTAAATGAATATTTCAAATACCTCAATACCGATCTCTGCTATTCAATCATTTATAATTAACAATAATTGTTTCTAAGCTTTCTTTATCATTGGAATTAAATAAATTGAATCTATTTTCTGAATATATGAAAATGGTCAAATCTTTATTAAATACTGTGATGAAATGAATAAAAAATTAATATATTTTTTTTTAATAATTCATTTTTTTCTTCTCGTTTTCTTTTTTGACATCTTTTGATTTAATTCTCCTTTCATATAGACCTTATTTATATACCTCAAGTTCGATTTAGTACTGATTTTAGAATTTCGTCTTGTTTCACCTAACTTAGACTTCTTCTGCCTAATAAATTGATCATTCTTCATCCCATTGTGCTTTAGAGTGGTTTATCGCTTTTATTATCTCTACGTTAAATCTACTTTTTATATTTTCTTCCTTTTGCTATCTTCAACTCTTCTTTAGACTTTGTAACTCTAAAACAAAAAATAATTGGTAAGTTATTATTTCATTTAGCTTCTTATTAGTGAAGGCATCATTTCTTACCTAAAAGAAGAATAAAAAGTGTGATTCAAGCTCTCCTCCAGTTTTTTGCACTTTGAAGAAGGTATTAACTAGTCAGAATAAAGTTCTATTTCTTATATCCATTGCTTTAGAATTCATCGAATCTTTTGTGACCAAAATCGAGAAGAGTACCAGCAGAAAGTATGGGGCCTAAATACTGCAGAAGCCCTAAATGTCTACATGCTTATTGTAAGTGGACTGAGGAACTAAATAAAAAAGGGAGGAACCAAGAAAAATAACAAGGAGGATATTTTTTTACCAATATCAATATGTTTTATTTGTTTAATCAAATAGGGAAAATATGGAGAAGGATTTGATGATTGCATTATTCAGAGTAATTGAGATCAAGGATATTTGGTGCAAAGAATTCAGTAAAATAAAGTGTATGTATTATTAATTGTAAATAAACAAAATACAATTACAGTTAATTTGCTTTGAAATGCTATTGAATTAGAATTAAATAAAATAAAAGTAAAATTTCTATCGACAAAATAATCTCTTTTTCCAATTCAAAGAAAATTAAAACTGATAACATTATATTTTTATCTAAATTACATATCATTTTATCAATTGATCTATAAATATTTTTTAATTAATTCTTAGTTTATTTATGCTTTTTTACTTTAACCTCAAATCTGCTTCTACATAGATAAGAATTTATAAATATATAAAAAATTAATAAACTAAATAATTTGAAATATATATTTGGCCAGCTGGTTAATTTCATGTTCATGTGCTCTATAAATTAAAATAAAAAAAAAATATTGTTAACTCTATATATTAAAATTGGTTTACATCTATTTACTAAGCAAGCTTTTTATAATATTTCCATTTAAAATGCTGTCAATTTCAAAATAATAATAATTCTTGTTAAGAAAATAGAATCGCATAATAATAATAATAATAGTAAAATAAAAATTGTTTGTAATTTATAAAATAATAATTAAATGATATAATTTCTTAAACTATTAAAATCTGTAGAAATTTATTAACTTTAATGCCTTTTCTTAATCAAGAAAAAAGAGTTTTAAGAAATCGAGTTTATACTAAATCTCTTTCTTGAAAATTGAATTTTGATGGAAATTTCCTTTTTTTCCAATTTTTATACCCTAAGATCAGAGCTGGCTTGAACTATAGCATAAGTCTCATCGTTTAAATAGAATTATCAGATTCTAAGGATACAGAGTTAGGTAAAGGCCAAGAGAGTGAAATTATGTATGGATGATAATCCCTTTATTATAGGTTCAGGATTGATTATCATATATCAGCATATTTATTTGATACATAAGAATTATTTATTAAGAAATCTAAGGAAGGAGGGATTCTTAAATTATTTGTTAAATAGGTATCAGACTAACCATATGTAATTTTCAATAAATAAAAAATCTACTCTAATTTAATATTCCATAATTTTATATTTTATATTAAGTATTTGAATAGCTTAATAACATCTGTATATAAGTTTAAGCATTTATTAAAACTCTTAAATCTTAACTTGAAAAAAATTTTAATGAATAAATAGAATGGAAGGTAATAAATAGTTAATATATGATAATTTAACAAAAATATTGTGAAAATATTAAGTAAATAAAATGAAGAGGAATCTTTAAAATTAAAATTTGCGGATCAAGTTTAACAATTCAACTTAACACCAATCAAAAAAGAAATATTTTTTAAATATATAGAATAAATTAATCAAAAAATCTAATAAATTGATTTTCAAGATATTTGAATATTTTAAAAGAGTACAATATTTTTTTTCTCCTATCTTCTTAATACAAAGAATTTTAATAAATTCTAATTCATCTGCCATACTTTAATAAAAATTGCTATCTTGCATTTAGAATAGACTTTAAGATAGGAGAGTTGAAATATAATTTAAATTAAAAGATATTGTTTTATTCATAATTTATAAAATAATGAAACTTATGAATTATCCAATGATTTAATGTCTGTAGTAAATTTGATTAGTTTTATTATAAAAGCTTAATAACTTGGTTAGTTTCAATAAAATCAATAAAAGTAATTGATAATTTATTAGATTTTAATACATAAAGAAATTATATAATTTCTATGTTTCTTTTCAAATTAACTCATTAATAATGATCAGAATTTGTAGTTTGATATAATGAACAACATAATCACTTATGAATGGAATAGCATAATCAATTAATAATTTATTTAAAAAATCTCTTTTAACTCATTAATAATTCCTATTTCATAAAACCTAAATTTAATTGGTTAATGAATAAAAGTTTGGATAATATTAATAATAAGGAATTAAAAACTAAATTTGAATGATATCCTTTCAATAATTTATTTCAAGTGTACCATAGAGCAGCCATCTATTAAATAACAAATTACTTAATTATAAATAAGGAAAAAATTGTCTTTAAAATTGTTTAGGATACTTTATTCTCTTTAATCAAAAATAATTACTAACATAAAGAATCGCTTACTAATGAGATAAACAATCGAAACTGCCTGTTTTATCATAGAGAGTTTTTCAATAATTTATAAAGTTGTGGATTATTTGTTCAATTTAGAGCCCATACAAAATTATGCTTATTAAAAGTTTTACAAAGATGTTCAATATTTTAAACATAGCTGGTTTATATCTTACTAAATGCTATCCTCTATTTATATTTAAAATAAAGTTAATAAACAAGAGAATTACAAAAATAATAAAAGTTTTGAGAATTAAATGATTGTCACTACAGTGATTATTTAGAAATCAACTAAGTTTTGTTTTTTTATAAATCAGATAGAGTATTTAAATCAAGAGAATTAAAGATTTTCGTATGTTTTTGAGTTTCGTTCTTATAAGACTATTATGAATTTGTATACATGCAATGCTTAACCCAATTTCTTTACTTTTATAATGAATAAAGCTAATTATTCGATTCATTACTAAATCATAATATTCCTTCATCATTTACAAATTAAGAATGTAATTAAAATAGAATAAATAGTTTATATATTTATGAAGAAATGTTGTACATAGTAATAACTCAATTTACATCTGTTAGATTAATTACTTTAAATAGTATGGTATAATTTTTAGGAGAGTACTCTTTAGATTTAACAAATCTAGAATATATTCAATTAATACTTGATTCAGAATAAATCGTAATTCTATATTCATTTACTGGATCTTAGAGTTGAAACTTAAGATTATACAATATTTAATTTTAGATCTTACTCAAATAAGTAAATTATTTAAGAGGTGATTTGAGTGTAAACATGGTGTTACATCATCAGGAATTATCATAGCTGGAGTTAGAAGAAGCAACAATCTGTTGGTGAATTTGCTGTTTTTTTGAATAATTAAGGAGAAAAGATTAAATCTGATTATATTAAAGGATAATATAGTTAAATACCTCTAACAACTTTATTAGATATTTAAATAGTCTGTTTAGTTTGGAATGCTTGGAAAAATCAATAATTATGGAGCTTATCATATTCCTTAATAGATTGGAATGGATAATTAATTCAAATGACTTGTATCATTTATCCTTATGATTATGCTCGGTGCTCTGATTCATCAACTTGTTAATAATATGAATTCGGATACTAATTTGTAACAAACTATAAAGAGCTAAATATATAGTATTCCTAATGTATAAAAAAATGCGAAACTTTCTGTTCAATTTGTTATTTGATGAAAGATGTTTATAAAACTATTATGTAGATTAAAGTGGAGTTTGTGTATTAAATGAATTTGAGAATAAAGCAATTTAAAAATAAATGAATTTACTTAATAACACCAAATACAGCTAAATTTAAAGCCGGTTCAATTATATAACATGGACAGAAGATGAAGATAGTTGTGGTGTTTTTGCTTAATTACTAAATACTTAAGGATAGAAAGTTGCAAACAATTTTAGAGTTAATCAAAGTGTTTTTGTGGCGCAACATAGTTGATATAAGTTTTATTGAAGTTAATCCAGAAATGGAAGCCATGATTAAGGGATTAAGATTCAATAATAAACTTGAAATTTTTGGCAATAAGCAGTTATTCACTACTTTTATTGTAGATTACTTTATTTTCAATAATTAATTTATTAATAAGACAGTCAGGATGAAGAATAAAGGATTTGCAATAATATGGTAGTTTAAGAATTAAATCAATACATAATTTTATGATTCAGCTCGTAATTTAGTCCTTTAAACAACTATTGTAGATGTTCTATATTCTGGATAATTAGAAGAAGCTATTACAACGACTCAATTGGCATTGTCAAAATAATTCATATTTTTACTTTTATTAAAACTGAATTTATTATTATTACAATATACCTATAATTTGCAAGCATTTAAAATTATATCGAGATAAACTGACAAGTAACTGAATTGCTTTCATTCGGATTCACTATTTAAATATCTTATTATTCATAATTTAGAAGAATCCATGCCATATTAAACATTAAGACAGATCAATATTTCATAATTTTGAGTGGTTTTTCATAAAATATTGAGTATTACTATATAGATAGGTTTAGGACAATTGAAGCAACTAACATATATATTTAAAGAGTATCCAAACAATCACAATTAGTTCCTATTTATTAGATTGTTTGTTCTTAGAATTGTGTAAATTATGATACTCAAAATACTTGTTCTTAATGTTTGAATTCCTTTTAGCTATATTATTAATAATGCACGGAAAGCAATTACTTATTTTGTAATGCTCTAAAAATTTGTGAAGTTTGTTCAGAAGGTTACTATTAATAAGCGCAAAAAAAATGTTCTCCATTTCTTTTAAATTATCATAAAGCAAAGTTTCTTATGAATTATCTATAAGAAAGTTTTATTATCGATATGAATATATTATCTAATGGATAAACTATAATCTACATTAATAAACATTATAGGTTTAATAGAAAGAAATCTTTAGCCTGTATATATATTAAAATAATGAAATGGTGAAGCAAATAACCCTTTTGAAATATTTCCTTTAAATTTCTCCCTTTTTTTTAGAATACAATTATTTGTTGATTTTTCATATAGTAGATGGTATTAAAACACTTAATAAGAGGGAGTTTTGAATAAATTTTAACCTTTTGGTTCTCAGTTTGACTATATTGCCCCATATAGTACAGTATTTAATCAAGTAGAATAAAATTAATATTCTCTGTTATTTTATTAAGGGAATAGAGGAGTTTATATAATATTATATGATGAAGCATATTAAATAATTCGGAAAAATATACATTTACAAATTCCTAGCAAATAAAATTGTCTTTATTCAAAGATAGAATAATATTGTTCATATTAAATTAATAAACTTTTCTATTGGAAATAAGATTTAAATTGATCGTGAAACCCAAAGCCTTCAGTATTATGGTTTTGATAGCTATAAAATGAACAATTAAACGTTCAATAGAACCATAACTAATTAGATTCAATAAAGGATGGTAGAATAAATTTTATAAGCAAACCTCAAATGGTTTCATAGTTTTTTAAGAAATAAGAATATACTATTCGAATTAGGCTGACTTCTCTTTAATAGCCACTTTATATTATTAAAAATATAATGCTTAAGGTAATGTTGTAGCTTGGAGCACAAAGAAAAATTGGATAGATAATTGTGACAAGTGCATAAATTCATATTACTGTGAGAAATGCAGTGTTAATTATGAATTGGATTAAAGTTATAAATGCAAATTAACATTCTAGAGTAATTGTAATTAATGTTCAAGCTTTACTATTTGTGATCATGTGATGCTGGATATAAATTAGAAAATGGATCATGTATTAAGATTGTATGTACTAATAATTGTGCTTAATATATGGAAAACACTACATCTTATTCAGGAACTATCTGCACATTGAGTGATACTAATTACTACCTTAGTATTGATAGTTAATAATGCCTTCCTTAATGTCCTTCTAATTGTCGTTAATGAAATGTTCCACTTGAATGTGAAACTTGTAATTTTGGTGATATAGTAACAACTGACAAAAAGTGCTAACAAGAAAATTCATTTATTCTTGATTAAATCAAAAATACAACTATTAGAATTCTTCTTGTTGCTAAATTCCCTGTTAGCAGTTACATTCTTTTATGGTATTGAAAAAATAATCTTTTTGTTATTTAAAATGTTATTTTTATATAATTATAATATAAATATCATTTATAATTTTATAATATTAGAACGGAAAAAATGCAGGTGTTCATTTTTATATTCCCCTGATAATGTTTAAAGATTGGAGAACCTATGAAAATTGATGAAAAAAAATAGAAGATCTTTAAATTAACAACTAAAAAATCTTTATTAAGAGATACTAAAATTAGATAAAAATTCTTTTATCTACCATTTGTTCAAATAAAAAATAATTATTATAAAGATATATATCATTTTCAAATGATTTATGAATTCTCCCAAATAAGTACTTAACACCATTAAAATTAAATTAAAAAAAAAAGAAGAAATGAGTTAGAGTTTTATGATTTATATCCATCATAATGAATTAGTAATATAAATAATAAAAATATCATAGTAATAATAAAAAAATATTCTTAATTAAGTCATTCGTATATTTTAATTTAATTATTGCAATTTCTTTTATTGGTTATTTATATTTTTAAATTATCAGTTTACTTTAACTAGTTATTAACAAAATTTTAAATTGACGAATATGGATAAATGTAAAATTATTAGAAAAAAAAATAAAAAAATCTATGGATTCCTACTAATATTTATGGTGGTAAGAAATTTTACTGCTACATCTTGTATAGCGTTTTTTGAAGAATTTTTATGACTTAACTAGACACCTGAGGTCTGGACAAGTATCTAAGATAAACAACTTTATGCTATTTTAATTAATATAAAAAGTAATTAAAGAGAATTATTTAGTAAAAAAGAATTGACTAAAGAAATATCATATTTATCTGCACTTGAAGTTATATTTACTATGTTAATAAATGATTATATTAAACAAAATCATTATTTTGTAGAGTATAATAAGTATTTGACTGGTATTTTTGGATATTGTAATCTATAAATCTAATAATAATAAACTTAATAAACTTGAACGGGTCAACTATGATTTTGCTTTTTATGTTAAAAATCAAATATAACCTTACATAATTAAATAATCAAGGATAATAGTATTTAGCTTCAGCAAATTTATTTATAATTATTCAGAAGAAGCTTAAACAATAAATCATTACAATAAATCTAGTTAAAATAGTTCTTTATCTGAACAAAATATTAAGATATCCATAAAAGTTAAGAATTGATTAGAACTAATTGAAAAATACCTCTAAAAGATTTTAGAAATATTTTATACATAAAATTATCAAAGATTGAAGAACATGCCATTTAGTAAATTATTATAATTTTAAAATAATAAAATAAATTTTAATAGTTTAGTTAGAAAATTATTTAGAAATATCTATTTGATTTCTTTCTTTTAATAACTATAAACATTAAAATATTCATAAACTAAATACTAAATGAAATATATTAGCTTTCATCAGTCAATCTAAATCCTTTTTTTTTATCATTTTTATTCTCTACTACATACTTAATTATAATTGCAATCGAAACAATAATTTATAATTGATTAAATTGGTGTTTACATAATTCTAAAATTTCTTTTGCTCTATTTAGTCAACTTGTTGAATGATCCCATTCAGATTATGCTACACTAATTATTTTGTAAATTCTCATAAAAGTAAAAGGATTTATTATTAAAATTGCTTTTTTTAGAATTCTTCTTCTTTGTCAATCAAAGTATGGATACTAATTCCAATTATTCTATTTTTATTAGAGTAATTCCACCCTTCTATTTATTTTATTTATAATTTTTTTTTTAATCTTAGAAGGAGTTTAATAGTTTTATGATTTACACATAATGAATATTATATAGATGATTTTTGACTTATAAGTATTAAATTATGATCTAAATTGTTATTCTTTTTTATACTGAATTATGTTTAGGATATCATTTGAAAAGTGATCAAAAGTTTCCTTGAGTGTTTAAAATAATATTTCATTTTTTATGGTTGATTCAACATGAAAGAAACTGCTTCTTCCTTTCTTAATTCGATGACTTTTGAATGAGTTTTATATATTGCAAACTTTAAGT